CAATACTTCTCTCCAATGAAGCTATTAGTAGATTCCCTGACAAATGTACTAGCAGCTTTTTGGGGGGGGGGGTGGAGGGAAGGGGTGATCAGGATTGTCGCATAGGGTGGGCAAAGAAAGGATTAAACCTCCCCTCCTGGCATAGTAGAGTCTGAGTACAATGCTACCTGTGGCTCCTGCTACACCCCTGGGTTGTTACATCGGTTACAATCAATCAGTTACACATTAACTACCATTGCCATCACTACCATCTTGTTTTATGCACAATGTATGGAGGAGAGGCCAATGCAGTGACCAGGAGATTTCCAGTGCCATCCATAGCTCTTAGCCCCTCCCTATCAATTGCAGAAGCAAGAGAAATTCGGCAATTGTGTGAATATGAACACACAAACACAGAGAGTCATAAACACAAGCACAGATTGCTGAATCCAGCCTTTTCTGTTGCCATATTTGGTCTGCCTTGGCACAGAGGTTTCCACATATGTATTAGTATTTATAGCTGTCTGTGCAGCACACATACATACTGGTGTGGTGCTTGCTATAGGGGTGCTTATTCATTGCCCTAAATCCATTTTGCTTCAAGACAACCTTCGGAATTCCCAGCACAAATTCCGGCAACGGGTATGAGACCGTAATCTGAGCAGCCTGTTCCTTTGCCCAATCTGTGCATTAATAGACGCCTCTCTCACAACCAGCTTGGTCATCTGATACATCTCAACAGCTGTACATGCTGCTGCTGCTTCTCTCTCCCCACTCCTCCAGCCCCCTTCCCCCTCCTTGCTACTCCACTTTGCCATTACAGGGCTGACATTTGAACATGCTTAGCTACGCCAAGACTTTGGAAGACAACTCAGATGACTTGCAGTGTTCCTTGCCACCAGCAGATTAATCCAGAATCAGCCCTCACCACTGCGTCTTGGCCTAAACCTTCCAGCCATGACCGAAGGCAAGACTTTCAAAGTCCGGGTGACTTTTGCCATTATTTTGATTGGCATCGCTTTAATGTTTACAGCAGTGGTGACGGACCACTGGGCTGTGATGAGTCCTAAGGTGGAGGAGTACAACGCTACCTGTGAGACGGCCCACTTTGGCCTCTGGCGGATCTGTATAAAACGCATCTTCATGAAAGAAAACGAAACGGACAAAGAGCAGGGTTGTGGGCCAATAAGCCTGCCAGGAGGTAGGTGTCTCCATATAACTGTCTGACAATATGCTGCAGGATATTTTAAAATCAGCAAGGCAGCTTACATTTTAGTATGTTAGCAGGCATGCTGGGAAAAGGGAAATGCCACCACCAATGTTGCTTTGCAGGTAGCCCAAAGCTATGTTCTTCCTTATATTTCCTTGAGTTCTCTCTGCTGCCTTGGCATGTATTGTGTTAACATTTAGTGCAACGCTCCCGGGCTGTCCTGATTTTAAGGGAAATCAGTAAGGAAGGCAGAAATCAGAAAGGGAACAGAACATAAGAGATGCTTTCTCTGGATTCTTTGATCACAGGAGTGGCAATGAACCCAGCCTTGCCAAGTCTGACAGAAATCTTTATTTGAGTGATGGTGGGGTGGGAATCATTGTACTTTGGCCTACATAACCCCTACAGTTTCAGACTACTTACTGACAGCATATCCATTAAATAGCGCTTCTGATGTGGATAATTATGTAAGGGGGGAATACATCAAAATTATAAAACTAATTTATGGCCAAAACTTACTCTGAAGAGCTTTAATTGCTTAGGATAAGAGAAAACTATAGGCAATGGACCAGTTCACTGGAAATTAAGAACAAACAACCAAATCTTCCACAGGTATTTTAGAGCAAGAAATAACCATAATGAACTCCTTTTCATGTACATCTAAATGCATGGCAGTAAAAAGTGTCATAGATAACAAAACTCCAAGAGCTGCTTGCATGAGATTGGTGTAGCAACCAAGTATACCTATTGTTATTGCTGTTGCCTGAGTTATAAACTCAGATTTATGCTCCATACCTCCTCTTCAAATAAGAAACTTAGCAAATGAATGGGTCATGGGGGGTGGGGGATAAATTAGGGTTGTCAAAGATGGTTTTCTTTGTTCTCCCCATGCATTTGTTCAAGGCATGAAGCAATCCTGCACATGTACAAGTGTAGAAGAAGTAAGCACAGGCATTTTGTATCTTTCCAGGGCGGGGTCCATAAGGGCATATATGTTCCATTCAGGTTATGGACAAAGGTACTTATGTCAAGGATAGTGATGACCACTATTCTCTCGCATCCCCTGCTGCCACTTGCCTTCTGTGCATTTGGGCTCCCTGGTTGCAGTGGTGTCACTAAAGTTAGTGTCACTCCAGTGCAGTCCAGGCAAGCAGGTACCCTGGGGAGAACATGAGAGGGAAGAGGTGGCAAAAGAGAAAGCAACGGCAGGGGAAGAGCATTCCCCATCTGCCCTCCCCTTCCTGACCACCTTGCCATCCTCACTTTCTAGCCCAAGCTGCCTGGCACACACCCCACCCTCCACCCTCCAGCAGCTATGGCACCCGCTGTGGCCCAGCATTCCCTTCCCATCCCCATCCTTGGCTGCATCTGGCTCTGTAACGATGCCTCCTCCACCTTGTGCTTCTCTGCTCCACATTAGGGTCTCTCAATCTCAACAGTGGTCAAGCAGAGCAGCATGAATGGGAGTCCATGATAACAAGTTGCTGCTGCCATCCAACAGCCCTTTCCCCACCCATTCCATCCTTAGCTACAATGATCACACTGTCACCACCTCTGCTTCATGCTTCCCTGCTGGCCTGGGCTCTCTTGGCCAGAGTCGAGAGGGTCCAAGGCAGAAAAAAGTGTAGCCCTTTCCAGGTCTGGCAGTGTTGCTGGCTGGGCAGGAAAGGGAGGTGATGGCAGCAGGAAGGGGAGCAGTCCATGGCCACCACTGCTGTCACCGCCACTGGCACCTTCCTTTTTCAGCCTAGCAGCAGTCCAATCCCACCACTGAGCAGAGGGTGGAGGCACCCTGGCTGGTGGAAGGGGATGACCAATGGAGGGGTTTTAGACAGCCAATGACCAACCATCCCACCAGGTGCCACCAGGGACATCACCAGGCGCATCACTTCAGGAGGTGTAGACCACATGGGAAAGAAGCAAAAGGCAGAGGTGTCAGTGGTGGCAAGCCGGTTGCAAACAAGGATGACTAAGGTGGGGGAAGTGCTGTCAAGCAGCAGCAGCACTAGCTGCTGACTGCCACTACTTCCCATTTGTGCTCCTCCACTTCCTTGAGCTCTCTCGGCTGAGGTTGAGAGAACCCAGGACATCAGAGAAGCACGAAGCAGAGGAGGCAGCAGCAAGCCAAGCACAATTGAGGATGGGAGTGGGTTGGGGGAAGGGGATGCTGGGTAACAGGAGCATTCACTCCTGTCAGCGGCCACAGCAGACAGATGGCAGAGGTGCCCTGGCTGGCAGAGGAGGGAGTTTGGAGGGTGTCCCAGTTTGTTGGGGGTGGGCAGGATAGAAGGAGAGGACAGATGATGAGTTTCCCTCCCTCCTTGCTGCCAGTTCCCCTTCTGCCATTCCCTCCCCTCCCCTGCCACGCTCTCCCCATGTTGTCTGCCCTGGGGTGATGACATGAGTTACCGCATTGGAATGACATGAATTCTAGTGGTGCCACTATATGTCAACACCTCTCAGGTGTCACTCAGTGCAATCCGCACCCCCTCATTGATGTCCCTGCCTGGTTGGTCTCTGAAAAGTTTTCAGGACTTTTGTTCATTTAGACTTGAGCAGATACATCCAGTCGGAATGAATGAATATCCCCAGACTTTTCGAGGTCTGGACTCTGAGGTCACCAAGGAACTTTCCCTTGTGGTCTTTGGGAGTCTCAGACTAATAGTAAACCATATCATGCTGTCGGAGGGAGTTGATAATGGAATAGCCTAGACATTGGGGAGCAATGGTTCCTTGCACATTAGAAAGAAGGAGAAACTGCATCACCAGAAAAAAGGACATAGATTTGTCCTCTGGCAAATTTTATCAAGAGTCCCTGGAGTTTTATATATGAGGACACAAATATAAGTGAGTGAGTGTGTATTCTTTAATCCGGGGTAGGCAACCTTTCCCCTTTAAGGGCCGAGGGACTTCAGCTCCCAGAATCCCAGGAGCTATTGGCCAACATGGGACTATTGGCCAACTTGGCTGAGGCTTCTGGGAGCTGAAGTCCCTCGGCCCTTAAAGGGGAAAGGTTGCCTACCCCTGCTTTAATCAATTGTTTAATTCTTAATTAATTATTAAACTAATAATTAAAGATGAAATGTTGTGCAGAAAAGAGAATGGCAGCAGGCACCCATTCCTCAATAAGCTGCTGTACCTTCCAAAGCTCCCAGTTGTACCCAACTTAAAAATGTACAAATGCCCTCATCTTTCTTTGGTTCCCAGGTATTTTGCTCAGAGCCATGACTATATAGATGCAGTCCTCTATTTAGCCTCTTGAAAGCTAGACACTGTGTGTTTGTTGTCTTCCTTTTACTGGCAGCACCAAGGCTTGCATTCTCTTAAGAGACAGGTTCATTGTATCATTGTCAATTTGGCTCTTCACCATGCCTTAATGCACAAAGCTTAAACAGTCTTCTTAGAAAGCTGCCAACACAGGAATAGGGTCATATTTCTCAAACCTGGAAATCTAATATCCATGTTATGCAAATTACTTTCATTATTCAAATTATTCTAATTGACATTCTATATATGCAAATTCAGAACATTAGTTGTTGCATTTCTTCCAATTTGTTTAAAATTTCATACCATTTTTTAAAAAGTTATAATTGATCTGACAGAACTAGTACAGAGTAAGGTTCAAAGTGCTGGATTTGGAACAGGGAGACCTAAACCTCTGTTCAGTCACAGAATTTACCATGGGACATTCAGTGCTTTTCAGCAAACTTGCTGTAAAGTCTCCTTGCTTTTTTGGATTTCATCATGCATACCGGCCACTCTCTTTTCCCTTGCTCCCTGTATTGTTTCAGCTCACACCTTGGCAGTGAGAGCCAGTGTGGCATAGGGGTTTGAGCCTTGGACCAAGACTTTGGAGATCAGAGTTCAAATCTCTGCTCAGACATGGAAATCCACTGGGTGACCTTGGGTGAGTCACATGCTCTCAGCCACAGAAAACCCCAGGATAGGTCCTCCTTATAGTCACCATAAGTTGGAAATGACTTGAAGACATACAACAACAACAGACCTGCGCAATACACCCCTTGCTTCTTACATGTTGCCACTTGCACAGTCCACTCTCGGTCCCCTTCTACTCCTACTCCTTTCCCTGCCTCATCTCACACCCTTGCTATACATCTTGTGAGGAGATTGCAGCCGCCAAGAGGAATCAGAGACAAGTGTGCTTGCTCCTCCTGCCAGTAGGAAGACAGCTGCATCGCTTCTGGAGTGTCACCCAGTGCAGTCTGCACCACCGCATCCCCAAAGTGATGCCACTGCCACTGACCAACCTTAGGGAGCTGGGTTTGTTTAGACTGGGGAAGAGAGAGTTAAGAGGTAACATGATGGCCATGTTTAAATATTTGAAGGGATGTCATATTGAGATAGAGCAAGCTTGGTTTCTGCTCCTCCAAAGACTAGGACACAGAGCAATGGATTCAAGGTACAGAAAAAGAGATTCCACCTAAACATTAGGGAGAAATTCCTGATGGTAAAAGCTATTTGATAGTAGAATACGCTGCCCTGAAGTGTGGTGGAGTCCCCTTCATTGAAGATTTTCAAACAGAAGCTGGGAATGTTTTGATTCTGTCTTCCTGCATGGCAAAGGGTTGGATTGGATGACCTTTGTAGTCTCTTCCAACTCTAGGATACTATGATGCTCCCAGGCTGCCTTGTATAGAATCATATCCTTCGCATGTTCAGAGCTCATAAACAGTTATCATCCTGCCCAACAGCCCTCTCTGGTCAAGTATCTTCCTTCTTTTCATTTTTCCAAACAGTAGTTATCAATTGATAATATTATTATGCCATCAGCAACATGTAAGAAAAACACCAAATATAAAGATATTCATTGATATGACATCAACAATTCCATTCACATTGTTGTAACTGTTAGTTATGGGGTAGCAGGAAAAATGACTCCAGCAAAATGTGTTAGGAAACAGAGTAGAAAGAGCTGTCTTGACATTAATACATAAATCAACATGGGAATTAATAATTTCATTTGGCTTAACAAAGTAGCAACAAGATCAACAAACACAGAATTAAAAAAAAAAACATCAACAAGCCTTTTACCTGAAATTATGTGACAGCCACAGGCCATAATTCAATGAATGCTTTTAAACACAGCTTTTGAGATAATTGCAGTGGATTTGTTTTTGTAATTCAGTTTTTAACTAGGGTCTTCCCCACTTTTTGTGTGCCTTTGATTCAGAGGAGAAAGCGTGTCAGGAGGCAAATTGAAAGCTTTCTATTTATTAGCAGGAACGTTGCCAGATGATTGCAAAGCTTCAGCACTTTAATTTCATTTTGCACAGCACTGCACAGCCCTGGATGTCTTGAGAGCACTATAAAAATAATAAAAGATAATTGCCGGGCATAATAAATTACAATATCTGCCATTCAAAAGAAATGTGAGAATTTCTGAGAATCTCAGATGACAGGAAGCTGAGGGGAGAAACACACACCCAACAATGTTATTTACAAAGCAATTTAATAAAATTCCCAGAATGCCCACCTCTACAGACTTATCCTTCTACTCTTACTTACTCACCCCATCCGTTGGGTACTGTAAATTTTAGTCACACTGCTCTGACTTGACTCCCAATCTCTATAATTGCCTATTTGTTTACTGTGCACATTTGAAATGCAACAGCGGGGCATGTATAGCTGCTCAGCTATGTTCCTTCCATGGAGACACATGCTGACATCCATCAAAGGTAGCGAATACACTTGAGCTGCACCAGTTATAAATCTGTTTTATTAGGACAGCTGGTTATTTATGGACTTCATATGTATCCCAACTATATGCAGGGGAAATAGATTACTGCATTTGTCCCCAATTCTCTTGTTGCAGTAAAGAAAAATCAGTCACCGGTGTATGCACTTATCTGTTTGTGTACACTCACATCACACTGAGACCCACACACACACATGCGATGATAAGGAACATTTTTAATTCCTGGCAGCTGCTCATGGCTGTCCCCAAATTTGTTCTAGAGTCTTGAAAGATGATTGGACCATATTGGGTGAAACAAGGGCCTGGGATGGTCTTTGAGTGGTAAGAGGTATAGGAAGGGAAGTCTAGATGTGCAGATGAAAATGCATTTGCATGATATTATAGTTATGAGCCAGCCTGGTGTAATGGTTTGAGTGCTTGACTAGAACTCTGGATTCAGCCATGGAAACCCACTGGGTGATCTCCATGGTAGGGTTTCCATAAGTTGCATAATAATAACAAATTGTTTATCCTAGGTAAGCCTAAAGCAGGATGAAATTCGATGGTAGCAACTATATTCTGCAGACAAGATCTGACAATAACTAGACAAGCTAAAAGGGAGCTAGAGACATCAATAAGCATTTGAATAGCAAAACAAACCATTTTAACATGAGATGGGGCCTTTTGCAAGAAAAAAAATATTATTTTGCATTTAGTAATAATAATAATAACCCCCCCTAACCCCCCCCCCACACACACACATGAATGGGGCTTGTCAAATATTATTTCACTGTCATTTCAATAATATGTGAGGGGGGTTACAGACTGCCAGAAACAGTGCAAATTGAGTCCACTTTTACGGTTAGGATTAGTGCTAGGGAATCATGGGAATTGGTTTTTTTCTGAGACATTGAGCCTCCTCTGTCAGAGAGCTCTGGTGCCACAATAAAATACAGTTCCCATTATTCCCTAACCTTAACCCCAAAAGTGGACTCAATTTGAACTATTTCTGGCAGTCTGCAACTCCTATGAGTCAATACTCATTAAATAAGGAATTCACTTTTCTGTTGTAAAGTTGCACATATAACTCCAGTGGGTCCTTGGCACCCACTGGAATTTGATTCCAGGACATCGCCCCCATGGACACCAAAATCTGTGGATGCTCAAGTCCCATTATATACAGTGGTGTAATAAAATAGCATCACTTACATAAAATGGCAAAATCAACATTTGGTTTTTGGAATTTGGTGGTAGTGGTGGGAATATTTTCAAGCTGTGGTTGGTAGAATGTGTGAACATGTGCGTGCATTCTGGTTGTTTGTCAAGTGCCAAAGAGAAATCTCGATCTACTCAGGGTATTGGATGTGCCTGTTCCTGCCCTCATCCAAAGAAGTGAAGTGGAGCTGGGCAAAATCCAATTTCTTTCAACATAGAATCCAATGTTCCAGTTGCAATAATAAATAATAATAATAAATTTTATTTATATAACGCCCTGTGGCAAGCCAATCCAGGCAGTGTACAAGAATAAAATACTTACAACTTAAAATAGTATAATTCCGTCCTCCCCCCCTTAAAAAGGTATTAAATTACATCACAATTTAAAAACGATCTACAATTAAAACACAACAAATTAAAATTAAAAAATACAAGTAAAAATACAAACCAACAGACCCCTGTGACTTCAAGTTCTAACGGGGACTATAAAATATTCCTAAAAAAGGGAGGGCCCGAGGATGCAGTGTGGGAAATTTCAGTTAACCAAGTGATGCCATTTCTCCTTCTCCTCCAGTGGTGTCATAATTAGGATTTGTAGTTTGCTGAGGAACCAGAGCTCTCTGACAGAACAGGTTGAACACCTCACCAAACCACAAATCCCAGGATTCCACAGGATGGAGCCATGACAGTTAAAGTGGTGCCAGACTGCTTTATTTCTGCAGTATGGATTAGCTTTGAGTCTTCTGTTATGTTTTTAAAGGCAAACAATGAGGCTACAACTATTGTAGGTAAGCTGCACAATGTGCACAAATAGTGCTTGTGTCAAGGCCAACAGGAAATATTTTGCTCTCTCAGGGGTGAGGAGAAAAAATATTATAGTTTCTTGTTTTCACACATGAGAATGAGACCAATGAGGATTAAAATCCCTAATGTAAACACATTTATTTTGCAGTAGATCATATACCAAGATTGCAGCCTGGTATGAAAGGAACTGGACAACTAGTCCAAGTCATCACTGAAGGATTGTACACCATTTCTCACCATCCTAACACTCATCACACACAAAACATTGCTGCATAGCCTTGGGATGTGCCAGCTCCAGGCTTTTTTGAGACACATAAATATGTAGAACATGCCATGTGGCAATGGAAGACTATAGCACATAGCAACTTTTCATAAGTTAAGAAAGATATTCTCAATTGAGAATGCAAGACAGCAAGTAAAACAAAGCAAAAACCCAACATTGTTTTACCATTTGTATGAAATCAAATGCCTTCATTCTGCTGAGCAATAAGGGATTCTATTCAGGAAAGTATTCCCAGGTGCTGCCAAAATTATCTTTAAAACACTGCTGTTTTAATCGTAACTGATTTCATTGTAAAGGATTGCTCTGTTGATTTTCTCAGAATATATTCTAATCCTCAACAGCCCTACTGGCTCTCATGATACACCAGTATGTATACTTCACTATTGAACTTAGCAATGATGCTAATAGGATAGAAAGCTGCTCAGAATGCACTGCAACTGGATAGGCTTTTTAGGCCCAGTTTTGGCCTTAAAGTTTCTCATTCTCCCCTTTGCTGGTGAAACACAATGTGATTTTTAAAAATTGTTAGTAGAAAAAACTCTTAAGTCCAAAGCATCCCAAGCTGTAAAAATATTAATGTGAGTCTGAATTCATTAACTCTAGTCTAAAATCAAAATATGAGTCTAAATTTTTGGTTGTGCTCGAGGATATTTTTGAGCTTATACCTTTATTTTTGTTGATTGCCTTCAAATTGTTCCCAACTTACGGAGACCCCAAGCACAATCTATCATGGGGTTTCCTTGGCAAGATTTCGGTGGTGTTGCTGTTGCCATTGCCTTCCTCTGAGGCTGGAAGAATGTGACTTGTCCATGGTCAAGTGGAGATTTAAACCATTGTTTCCTTGAGTCCTAAATCTAATCTGCACTGCAGAAATAATGCAGTTTGA